AAATGGAGATTATGCTAGAATTTCTGCTCAGTGCAATGGATGCTGTTAGGAGGAAGATGAACAGACTCCTTCCTTCATGGTTTTGAGGGCTTTCAACTTCAAAATACAAAAGCAATCCCAAAAGGTCTTATCTATTTCCACAGCATCCTCCAGATAACATAGTAGACAGTGAAAGCGAAGACCTATTGGGAATCCATGTATAAAAGTTGGCTTTTGTAAATGCAGAGGATACTGTGAAGAACCAAATGGCTCCAACTAGCACTCCTGCTGTGCACAGCGTGGCAGATTATTTTTTCTGCGAAGGAGGGAGGTTTCTCTTCCCTCTCTGCTTCTCTCCAGCAGCGTCTAGTGCTCTCTGCAGGGTTGCAGACAGCCGTGTAGAGAATGAGGGAAGCTCAGAAACTGTTTTCAGTGTGCTGAGGGGTTTGTCTTTTGGTTTGTTTTTTCTATGTATGGGACTTTGGGGGATCAGTGTAGAACAATCCGTACAGACCAAGTAGCTACTGGGAAACATCACAGTTTTTCAAGCTTTGTAGTTGCCCCAACACCTAATGATTCTTGAAAGCCAAGTCCGTTGCAGCCTCCATGCCAGGCCATGCTCTCATCCTGGGGACCCAGCCGCATATGTTCTGGTTTGCTGCACAGGAAAAGCCAAAGGTGACCCCTCTCTCTGACAGCACTGAGCCAGCTGTGCTTTTCAGTTGCTCCCAGCTGGGCTTTCCACTGCCTCAAAGGAGCTGGCAGGAGGAAACAGCTGCTTTGTTCAGTTGCTGCAGCTGTCTCCTGAGTGGTTCTGAAAAAAAACCACCCATATAGGTTCAGCAAAGTGCCCTGTCTTTTACTGATGGTCAACATGGTGTGCTTTTGAATTGGTTCTGTTGCACCATCATCTCCTTAGTGTCTTTATAGTTAAGGAATAAGCAAAAGTTCTGCATTTCAAGTCTGAGGTACAGCTGGCATAACAGCACAAAACAATAGTCCAGGAATGCTCAGAATTCATCACATTTCTTTGCTTGTAAGATGAACAACCTACAGAATAGATCTGCAGCCCAGAACACATATATGAGCTAGTTCAAAATACCTTGTCTAGATACAACATCAGAGGTTGCAAAATCTATACTGGTTTCTGTTTTAAGTATTAAAGCAACCTGCCCATGATATGCATGATCTCCTTGTTGTTACACTAGCATCTCACCCCACCTGGCATCTGCTAATTAACTCAAATATGAACCACTGAAGTTAAAATTAGAGGGCTGGATTAAAAACAAGCCAATGAGTAAACAGGACATAGGGAGCTACCTGCTCATAGGCTCTGTGACTATGGGCACATGTTGTGTATTGTTAACTGGGACAGGCACTAAAACCAAAGGTTCACTCTATATATGAGACCTCTCACCTGACTGTTAGCCTACAAAGAAACTAGAGAAAAAGCTCATATCCTGTTTATAAAGATCAAGGTGTATTCAAAGTATTCAAAGAAATGGAGACACTGGGGAGAAAGCCCACGTAGTTCAGGGCAGTGTCAGACATCTCTGACACTGGAGATCTCATCATTCTAGTCAAAACCAAGCTACTAGTGTTAGCTGTGTTTAACATTATTTCCAGTGCTCTTCTTTCCCAGAAACTCTGATTATACCTTGCACTGCAAAAATGACAGGAATGCTGTGCTCATTCTCATAATATCTCGAGGACTCTTCTCTCCACAAACACATATAAACGACAAATGCTGGGAGTTAGTCAAAAGAAATATTCTTTCTTTTCTGCCTGATAATATGAAACAGGATCTATGGAGGCAAGTACAAATGGTACTGGTTTTAGATCAGTTATTTGTTAAGAGGTCTCATTCAAATAGGGGCTAGAGAAAAAGAAGGGATGCTTCCTTCAAGCATGAGGTCATATTCAACCCCAGACCATTCTCATTTATGACCGCTTCTCATTTACTGCCCTCTGAACGAAAGAGCAGCATTTCTCCTCCTCTTTAAGTAAGAAAGCAAATAAGCTTAACCAGTAGGGTCAGAAATAAATACAGTAGCTTTACAGCTCAGTGCTCAAATCAGGGAGATTATGTCAGGTTTAAAATTCACCAGAACCTTCCACCTAGCACAGAAGCAATATACTGCTGAAGTTGCTAAGTCCCTGTACTTCTCCTGAACTACAAAGTATAAGCTGGGCTTTTTCGTGTAAGCTGGGCAGTTTCTTTTATTAAGTTTGAAATACAGCAGAAGTATTAACTTGGTTGATTACTGCTCACTGCTTTGAGAGTGGTTCCTAAAGAGCTACTCATTATCCTCAGTAAGCAACAATCCTATGTAAAATGCAGTAGTACATTGCTATTCAAAAACATTTTGACCGATGTTACAGCATGTTGAAGACTATGGATTAAGCTATTTTCCAAAATTTGAATATCTCCTTTGATTCACAGCCATCCTCAATGAATAGCTAGCATGGGCTGTTGCTGCTGCCCTTCCAATGACTTTCCTCCACTTGCTTTAAAGATAATCTTCTGCTGCTGCCAACACAAACAAGCAACTGGAAGAGAACCTCTGCAGACCTCACTGCCCTGAGACACACTCTGGAGAATGGAAGATCTGTAAGAGATAGCATTGCAACTGTGCTGTGGAGGAATTTCTATCTGGATTAGATTGAGCTGAGCATGCACATTCCTTCAGAATTACCAGGTTAGAAGCAAAACGAAGGCAAATGTTTACCTATTACATCTCTTCCCTATTGCTCACTGCACCAGTATGCCCAAGTATTGTATTCCATACTCAGAACTTCATTCTTGAAATACAACAGGATGAGAAGTGTCGCAAGGATGATGGTTTGTTTTCCTTGGACATCTCAGAAGAGGTATCTCCTCTTCCTCCAAGGGAAATATTTTGGCAGACTTCCATGTGAAAACAGACAGAAACAAAATGTGACTAAGTGCAATAAATGGCTTTACGTCCTTTTCTACATACTTCTGTATTGCCAAACAACCAAGCAGAGAGATCAACATTTAACTTTGTTCTTTCCCTCAGTCCACAGACCTCAAGTTGTATTATATCCTCAGCTCCAAGTGAAGAGAAGGATATGACAGAACTCATCACAGTTGAAAGTCTTCAAAATGGTATAAAATGAACTTAAAGCATAGAAATATGAAACTCTCCATTTCATCACTCTAAGAGAGCCACTCCAGGTGGGACGCTTTCACTTTTGAAATAACAGAAGATTTGAAGATACCAAAGCTTGCTTATACTTCCTTAGCAACTTAAGTCACTGCAAGACAAGTCTAGTAGAAGCCAAGTCTGAAACTGATCCAGTCAGGAATCTACCAAATGCTGACTTGCAGGAATTAAAATGAAGAACAATCAGCATAACATAATTGCTTGGATATAATGATCTCATCAATATGATGCTTACTCTAGTATACTGCAAACACACTTAAGAAGCACCAGAGCAAACACTTTTGCTGGGTATGTTTCATACATTTACAAGCCTGTTATACAAAAACCTCGCCAGTGATCCCTTGATCTTGTTCCTCACATTTCATGCTGAGGGTAAGGTGCTAATTTCACACATCCAATTAAGCAAGTATTTCACCCCAGTAACTTACTTTTTGTTTAAGTTCTTATTCATAACATCCCTCTTTTCACAAAAGATGGCAATAAATCCAGAAAGTTTTCTCACCCATTGTGAACAGTTAAACATATTGCTATGTACATCTCAAAAATCATGCTACTATTCTCATATGAATAGAAGTGAGTAACTATTATTAATTTAGTCAGATAGTCCTTTGACCAGATATCTGTTCTGGATTGAATCTTGTAACAAAATTATAGATAGATAGGTAGAAACAAATATGGTCTCAAGGATTTTGAAATTCTATTTTCCCTTCTTTTTTAAATCACCTCCTCTTTTCTGTTGCTTTTTTTTTTTTTCCATTACAAGTTAAATTTTTCTGACTCTCCCTACTTTACAAAGAAAGACAAAGCATGTTGCTTGTTTTTCCCCATACATTTTATAGAGAACTTAAGTATTAAAACTTTCCAGCACTGTTGATTAGTTATGTGTGCTACGGAAAACAAGTCTGAGTCTATAAACCACTTCTGCTTCACTATCTGTAAATTAGGCTAGTAGATATTTTGAAGCTGAACCAAAAAAATGTTACAGTTTTATGACCTTTGCAGTTACAGACAGCAATGTAGTATTTTAAGCAACTTATGATGTGAATGCTTCCTGTGCCTTCTTTCTGAGATAGCAAGATACTGCGTTTTTTAGTATCTGACTTGCAACACAGGCCCTTAAACAGAGAAGAACCAACAATATTATCTTCTGTCTCAAAAACAAGCCCTAACTACTGCAGCCTCAAGGCTTCATTTCTGCCACCTGAATTATGTGAAAAACATGGGCTTTTCTGTTCCTGAAACAAACAGGGAATTCCCAGCCTATCTGCAGTGTTACTATCAGGAGAGGCAGCTGTGTGATTCTTACCTCAACAGCAATAAATTCATGACTGCACGAACAGTGCCTTTCACCTAGATGCTACAAGTAACTTTGCAATAAAATATGCCACCGAAGATGTCTATTCAGCCAAGATTTCACATCAACAACCTATTCAACAGGTATGACTACACTGCAAATAAAAAGTAGACATAAAAGTGGTCATAAGGTCAGCATTAGGAACTGCCGGTCTTCTCACCATACGACTGCCTCGTGAGTCATTTGTCTGCATGTGCTCAGTCACCTGAGGAGTCACTGGAAGCACAATCAGTCTTGTTCTGAAGAAAAGTTTACAGATACAGTGTAGACACACATCACAAGACTACCAATCCCTACAATTCAGAAGACTGTAAAGACATGTTGCTGATTGAGGATGAAATGAAGAAGAGAATACCTTCTGCAAAATCACGGGGTTGTTTTAATCTCGTAAGGCTCCTTGGAGCTTGAAACTTAAGTACTTCTGAATTTGCAGTAATCTGTGTATGACCTTTGCAGAACTTATTTTTCTTGTACATTACCTTTAAGACAAAGCAGTGATCTGTAGGTGCCTTATATTTCACTTTGTGTTGAGAACCATAATAAATGTTCATATTCTCAAACTGAATGAAGCACATCAGATCCCGGGATGTCTATAAATAAAAACCAAGCACGGCATTGTTAGAACAAATTAACTTTTGACATGATACTCATTAAGGGACTTTCAAGTGTATGAACACTGATGCTTTTTATTTTTTTTAACTGTCATAAAATTGACTGGAGAAGGATTAATTTTAAGAGCGTGCATTATTAAACTGACATTTGGAAGAAGGTCAGCACATATTGGGAATAACACATAACAGTAAAACATTTTGCTGTTTTTCTTCTTTTGCTACACATTATTGCTTTGTGTAGAGATTCTGGCTTATGGCTAAAGAAAAAAAAACACAAAACAAACAGAAGACCATAGTAAGAATTAACTTTTGTAAAATACACACAGATCTTGCAACCACACCCCTATAATTCCAAGTGGAGAATGATGGTTTGAGGTTCTAAACTGATTTGGGAGCTTGACTCTCTTTGATACATGTAACAAATGTAAGCTCTCATTAGGAAATAAAAACAGATTTCACCTGTTTTACTTTGAATTTTCTCAAATTTCCTGGCATCGTTATTGTTCTGTTCAGCACAATATGTTGCTTAAGTAACAAGGTTTCTGTTACTGGTACACTTTTCTGTACAGAATTCTGCATAAAAAGCATACATTTTGCAATACTTTGAGTGGAAATGCAGAAATAGCCATGTCATACAGTCACTGTTGGTTAAACTGAGAAATCAGGAAATTGTGAAAATACAAACCCTCCCTACCCCTAAGAATGGGGTTATACTTCCACATGTGATGGTTCTTCTATGCTGTTTTCATTTTTACTGTTTCACTACAATATGCCCTTGAGTTGGGTTTATTTATGCTAGTGCATTTAAAAACTGAGTTTGCAAGTAAGATTTTTAATGAGAAAACACTCCATATGGTATGTAGACATGACTTCTCCCTCTCTTTCCCAAAGTTCATGTCAGGGATTTTGTCACTGACTGTATAAACTTATGATTTTCCATTACTGCAAGTTTGCAAACATGCTCAAATCCACACAGTATAAATAAGGAGTTGTTCCTTTCCTTTAGGCAATTAAGACCAACACAAATGCATTCATTATTTTCATGCAAGGGACAAAGTCACTTACTGCTAGTATTTCTCCAGTGTTAACGTGATCAGACAAAAAAACATAACTAACATAAACATTTCAAAATTATATCTACGGTTTTGATTCTGCTGTTTTGCGGCCATACTCATTAGCAGCACAATTTTGAATGGGATAGGTAGGGTAACAGTGAAAAAAGGAACGAAAATGGTAGTGATGACTGGTGCCTGGAGACATGTGTATTAAAGTGTCTGGAATTGTTCCTGCATTTTTGAAGGTTTGTATGGTATTTTATAGCTAAAGTGAAGCGCCAAAGAAAGGTATGAGAGATTTTTTTGCTTTTCAGTATTATAACAAGTGAAAATGCGATTACATGTTGGATTTCAAAACAGCTGCACCAGCTGAAGACATTATTGCCCATTAAGGGTTTGCTTCTGTATTCTGAAAAAACACTTTACCCAAACTGAATGACTGCAACAGGTCGCATGAACATTCTTTATACCATCTCAACCTGCTGCTGGCTATTGATGGAGGCAGGCTACAAGGAAATACCTCAAATGGACTTTTCATTTGACTGTTCTTACACTCAGTCTACTTCAAGTGACTTTCACATAGAATTCTAAGTCCTAATTGATAGAAAGTTGTGTGTGTGCAAGAAAACTGGAGGACAGAAAACTGCTATCTCAGGGTCAGACAAAGTCACAATAAATTGATGTGAAGGCAGCCAGGTAATCTAGGTCTGTATTTCACTGAGATTTGGTTATAAGCACAGGTCACTGGAGCAGCAGCACTTTCTTTACAACCTATCAATTGTTTTTGTTTTTTTCCTTTTAATCTAGTCATGAAATGGGAGAATTTAGTTTTACAGCACAAATTGTAATAGTAAAACTCTGTCATCAGCATCAGAATTTCCAAATATTAAGTATAAGCAGAGCTGCAGGTGGTAACAGAAATGTTTTTCAGAATACAAAAAAAAAAAAAAAAAAAGGCAAAAACAACCTACTAGACCCAGAAGCTGCCATTCTATCTTATCCTGTGGAAAAAAGAGGCCAGCCTCCCTCAAGCACAGTATGCTCAGGACTCCCCCACTTCTTCAGTGTTGGCAATTCAGACACTTTAAATACTTGGCAATGCTTAATGTCAGCAAATCAGTTCTGTCAGATGGAAGCTTCTGCCTTACTTCCTTCAACTTAAAGCACAGTTGTAAAAAGCACGACATTCTCTAGGTAAAGATCACTGTAGGAAAAAAATGCATGCCATTTCTTCACGCTGTTTTTTGGCACAAGAAGTCGGTAGCCTACAAAGTCAGACTCCACTTTTTTGTGACAAGAAATTAGTTCGGAATTTTTAAAATATTCTTCCATGGGGAACTCATGTAACAGTGAAGTGCTTTGGCAGCATAACACCAGCTGAAGAATGCTGCACTGTTTTTCTTCCCCCTGCTGATTTCCGGTGGAGTGTTATTTCTTTAATGCTTTTATCTCTCCATGGAAATCAGAAGGAGGTAAACGTGAGAGGAACCAGGGACTACATTCTAATATTTGCACAAGTGGTGCAGTCAAATTTAAAAATAAAACAAAAATATAAACAACAAAACAATAGAAGAGTTCTCTCTCAGATGCACCAGTGCTCTTATATGCCACCCTGGGAGTTCTTCACTTTCACCTCTGTTAATTGTTTTATTGCTGAAAGGATTATTTGGCTTCCTGACCTTGGTTTTTCCTTTGGGTACATAATAAATTCCAGAAGCTCGCAGAAGAAAATAACGCCTCTTCCAGGACTTTTTTCCATCTTCTTTTAAATAAAGTGCCCCTTCAAGCTCTGGCACAATGACAGATGCCCCACAGAAGCTTTCCTGTGCAACAAGAATAAGATAACACAAAATAAATGGATTTAAGCATTACCCTAATAATAAACAGTAGAAAAATGCTCTCTTGAAAAATAAAGACACTTCCTGTGTTAGTGAACATATTAACATGGGGAATGCAGTTACCAGGGGGATAAACACCTTAGGTGGGAAACTTTTCCAAGCTCAAGCAATAACTCAGCCGTACAGATTGGGGGTGCTCACACTGGAAAAGAAGATGTGTAAACCCTCTATTCTCCAAAGGGTTACACAAAAACAACTACAAAGCATTTAGATGCACCTAGAGGATGCAATAAAACAGAACACTTGGTAATGCTGTTTTTATTTCTCTATTGCTCTCTCCATAAATTCTGTAGAGAAATATACTTGCCAAGAGAATCTTCAGAAATCACTTAGGAAAAAACATCTATCATCACTTTCACTTATAAATACATGCTAGAATTTACTACACTGTTTAAGGAAATACACTTCATTGTTTGCTTGAGGTACCTACTGTTGGGCAATATTTAATGTCAACACACTTAAGAGAATTTACCAGGACTTCTGCTGGTTGGCACCTGGTGTACTAATTTTAAAAAAGAGAATCCTCAGGCAGCCAAGAAAGGCATCTTTTCTGAATTTTTACTTAAGCCAAAATGCTTACCAGTAAAACTGTGGTAATCTTTCATGTAACTTTCACATAACTCTGAATTTCCTTCTCACAAAGCATACAGTTGAAGAAAAACCTTAGCAAGAAAGGCAAAAGGCTAAACAGGCTAAACAGACTTCCTGAAAAACTGCAGAGGTTCTTCTTCTCTTGCAGTACAGCTCATGATTTGAGGTAGTGAGAAGTACATCTGTTTTTAGTGCAAAATATAATTGTTTGCTACTGATCAGCCTTACTAATAGAAAGCCACAAGGGTGTGGTGCAGTTGTTTATTTTATTGGTAGTTGTATAATATTGCTTTTACTGGTTGGTATCGTGTCATTGCTTTTCAAAGAAACACCGAACAAATACATTTCTCCACTAAACTAATTTCTCTGACAGAAGATAAAATAAGCATTTTTAGTGGCAAACAGCAGATGTAAAGAAAAAGCCAAATACTAAACCTGAGACACAAAGCTGCTATTACTGAGTATCACAGAACTTCCTGTCTCTATGCTTTTGCCCACAAAGAGCTGAACACTGTTGTTACAGGGCAAATACAGTTGGTGGCAGTTTTGGTGGCCTTTCCATTATCAACCTAGAAAGCTGGCTTACCTCCAGTAAAGCTTCTTTGCTTTTATCATTCATTTCTTTGCTTTCATTCTTCCCCTTGTTTGCCAGGTAGAAATTCTGATAAAGACATAAAAAAAATTCATATTCTTTAAAAAGATACCAATACAAGTAATCAGTTTGATAAAACCCATTCAATAGGTGTTCAATCTTCTGATACTGAATATGCAGACTAATAATTCAGCAGATGCATATGGACACTTCTTATCTGGACACTTCTTACACAAAACCTTAATCATAGTTGCCTGCTGATGAGTCTTAATTCTTCATTTTGATGGTAATTCAAGAGCACAGACACCAGCTGCCTACAGATAGTAAGGCAACTATGCATAAAGGAAGCAGATAGGTCAAGGAGTTATGCCATGCATCAAGTAGCACGTGGATCTGTGATCAGAATTATAACGCTCAAAGCTCTTGTGTTTGATCACCTGCTAAACAGAAGTGCACACAGGACTTGAAAACACAGGATGCATGGGACAGTCTTACTGATTTCCCTTGAATTAGTCAAGCAGTTAAGTTTACATAACAGAAGGCATAATTATAAAACATGTTCTTTTTCTAGGAGGCAGACAAAATTGTAAAAACCCAACAAACTTTGAAAACCATCTACTTATCCTTCAGCAATTATGTAGCAAGAAAAATGAGAATTTACCTACTGTTTTATCAGAAATACATATGTCTCAAAATTACCAAAATGTAGCAATGTATTTACATGGACAGAAATCAACAAAGAGTAAGCTACAACATGATTGCAAAACCTCATCAAAAGACAAATAAGAAATATACACATTAAGGAATATGCTGTTTCTACTTTATATGGAACAAGCAGCATATCTACCCTGCCATCATACCATGTTTATAGCAAAAAAGTTTATCTGAGATGAAACCCTGCCTTTCCACATAACCACATCTTTTTCAAGCAGTGTCATGAACAGTCTGCAAGAATGCAAGCCACAGCAGATGGCTTTTGGAGGGGCACCAAGAGAGGAAGAGGTGTGGATGACCTCAAGGGCAGCTTTTGAAAAAAACTGCTGTACTAAAAATTCACATTAAGTGAGATAGGGGACATGAGAAAGTGAGACACCCTGCAATTTAGCCTATGCAGATGTCAAGATGTGAACAGAAAAGAGACTTTTAACATTCAGTGCCACTGACAGACTATACATAAATATTTATATGCAGGATATGCAACAAAACTTCGTTGGCTCCAGAATACCTACATACATTTCAAGTCCAGAGATGAAGGTATGCAAGCATATTTTAGACCACAGCTTCATGACTGCATCAGAACACATTATTCATAGCAGAAAAAAAGCACAAAACAACTCAAAACAAAATCTGCTTGGAAGTGTATTCTCAGTGTATTTCGTACTGCAATGCCTGCCTGTGAAGCCCAAAACCATAGGTCTGAGTGAATAACAATTCCACCCAATCCACTGGAAGAAAGATACCACCGTGAGCTGCTGTAGCCAAGAGCCCTGCATATATACAACAGCACTCCCTCCGGGGCCTTATCACAGCGTGCTTGTTTGATGTGGGCACACACTTCTTCACTGATGAAGATATGAACAGAAACCTCAGAGGGCACCGTTAAGCTAGATTGGGCCTCTGGACTTTAGCATAGATGCAGAAAGCAGAAGGACATGCAAGCTGAAAGTCTTCTTTTCTTACTGATCAGTGTAAAGACACTGTAGAACTCCCCCCCCAGCATACACATGGACAATTTGTCAAGGTAAGTACACTTTGTCACTGTCTCAACAAAGCCTGAGTCATCAACTCTACTACGAGTGGGGAGAGTATTCATCTGACTTAGTCAAGTCCCCAGCACACTGGTAATAAGGAAACAAAGCTCCTCTGATTATAACTGATTCATATTCAAGCATCTGGCATTTATTTAGCAGAAACACAGACCACCCAGCACTGACAATCAGTGGTAAAGATGGAAAGTTTGTAACATTATCCACGCAGGATCTCTAACAAGGCTGCTTTTTCATAAATCAACGTTACACAGATGTATACTGTCATCTTTCACCGGTCAATACAAATTTCATTTATTACTGATTACCTCCTTTATGTCTTGGCCCTGGAATTTGAGAGGGCACGGTGCTTTTTATTTGTCAGTGGTTGAAGACCTGAGGAGCAGACTGTACAACTGTACTTATTTTACCACTGTGTGGTCTCCTATTTTTCATCAGAAGAACTCATCCCATGGGAGGCAAGCACATGTGCCCACAAGACATCATTCCAAGTCCAGTAGTCAAAGGGCATGATAAAAGGCAAGCTCTTGCCTGGCTGAGGATACCACTGAGAAAAGCATGTTTGGCTTGGGATGTCATGTCTTAATGGGACAAGATGTGGCAACGGGGTAGCTTTCAGCATATGTCTACAAATTTGAGAATTAAGTTTTACTTCAAAAGACAGTCTTTCTCTCAACAGAAAAAACTTAAGCAGAGCTTAGTTAACAGGATGGATTCACCCTCTTACAATGATAACATAAGAAAGTAAACATAAGTGGTTATAATAAAGGCACACTCTGCCATTGCTTTTGCTTTGTTCTGTTTGGATTATGAATATGGAATGCAATGGAATAGAATAGTTCAGGTGGAAGGTACCCTCAAAGATCATCAAGTCCAAATGCCTGAATATTTCAGGGCTAACCCAAACATAAAGCATGTTACTAAGAGCATTATTCAAATGCATCTTGAACATTTGAGCAAGGGGCATCAACTATCTTGCTAGGAAGATTTTCCAGTGTCTAACTACCCTCAAAGAAAAGAAATTTTTCCTACTGTTGGATTGGAGATGAGTAATCAATTGTTCTTTAAGAATTCTTCCCCATGCCCACACATACTGCATCAGTTGAATGTGACACAAAGCCAGATCTCTGCCATCCCCTTTTACCTGAGTCAGATTAATGCAGAGCTACAGGGGCAGTCTCGGCACGTACTAACAGCCAGGAATGACATATTTAGGGGACATTATGCCTACATTTCCCTCTGTGCTCACACAGGAAGCTGGCAAAACGAACTGATGACCACATGCACAAAAGTAACTCCTGTAAGGATTTTATGGCCAGACTAAGTTAATTTTGTGCCTTGCACTGCATACAACCTTTCCACTGTGGAATACAGTCATCTTTTTTTTTTTTTTTTTTTTTGTGGAAAAGTAGTTAAAATTCATGCCAGATTATTCTTGTGCATATAACCATCACGTGATAATGAACGATGGAAGACACCATGCAGCAAAGCTGCTGCTTTGTACTCGCATCTATCTCCTTCATGCAATGAGCTGCCTGATTACCCTCATCCAAAGTGCACCTGTGGTGAATCAAGAACTGGTGAGCTCACACTGGCATGCTACATGTATCCTATTTCAGCTGAGTGCAGAACACAGCATGGTTTGTACGGAATAAAAATACAAATGAGGAGGTGGTCATATCTGCAACCTGTATCATGATACATGTGCCCCCTAAACCAAATTATTAGAATATGCCAATAATTGCTCTGGAGAGCACAAATGTAAATAAAGAAATGAAGCTAAAGGCAAAGCTCTTCTGAAGCCCACAGAACTCTGCTTGATTTTATAATATGAAGAAATGTCTCCATCTGACTTTTCATGCCTGGAGGATGATGACCTTCAAGTGTTTTAGGAGGAGGGAACATGGAACAAATGAAAGATGCGCATAACCAAAGATATAGCTAACAAAGCACTGAACAGGCTGATTAAAAGCTGCCTGTAAAACAGCTAAACTGTGCAAAGTCTGCTTATGCAACTATCCCAAGGCAGAACAATATTTATCTACATAGTGTCTTCAACTTGAAACTACACTATGGTCAACTTGAAACTACACTATGGTCACAAATACACTAAGAAGAAAATGAAGCTATGATTACTAACGACTGGGAGAGCGGCAAAAAAAAAACAAACACTTCCCTTTCCCCACTTCTGTTTCTTCATGCCTTTGCCAGCATGCTGAACAGTCAGGTTTCTGCCACCCTTCTATGTTTCCTTCCTGGGTCAACAGTGGAGACAAAAAAAAAAAAAAAAAAAAAAAAAGCAAGAGAAACCATGACTCTTAAAGCTTGGCCAAAGTGGTTAAAAAACAGAACTGTCACCTGGTGGATACCAGTCCAATTTCACAGACTTCAAAATAAATACTCAAGAGTGAAGCTCATTACGGATGTCTAGATATGAAAGATATTACAACTTCTTACTGCATCTCCTTGTGCTGTTTAATATTGCTTTGAGGAAGTAAAATCCTCATTCAATTCAATGGATTTTCCATTGGAGGGCATGTTTCTTGCTTTTGGCTTATGAATGTGGGAGCAGAAGCACGAAGCACTTACTGCACCCAGATCTCTTTACATTTTCCTGAATAATGTCCCCAAATTACAGAAATTACAGAAGGAACATGCACGTGGTGTCACTTGGATCATTTGAATATTTTCCTGGCAGTTTTTATCAGCAACATAGACACACAGAAAATCAGTCCATTTAATTAGAAAATCAAATGCGGTGTTCTAGGAGTGACTCAAGAGTTTAGACTGTCACAGTGAAGCAAAAACACTTCCTACATTAGTCCTATTAGCTAAGAATAATTCCTCGAACTTTTTAAAAAATAAATAGCCTTTAAATCTGATGATCTTCCCCTTCAGGAGTCAAATACAGCATCATACAGAGCATCACTCAACTGCATGACAAAGCCCAGCCTTTCCTATAGCACAAAGGTTTTCTTTATCTGTACATGTACCAGTATGTATTTTTGTTTCACTCTTTAGTCATAGAGTCATGACGTTCCATCTCTGTAGATGAATCACCAGTGCCATTAGTGGAACAGTCTTTTGCTGTGAATTCTCTGCAGGGTGAATTATAACACAGTGAGGAAGCAGCAGAAGTGTCTGTCATGATGAAGAAGGGGGAGGAGACCTGAGGATTTTGCAAATGTTTTTTCCAAAATGTGTTCTGAAGACTTCAAAAATTGTTTTATGGAACAAAGCTGTAGTTAAATGTTAGAGAAGACTGCATGACAAGATGGCAATCTCCCAAAACAGCCAACGGCGTTAGCTAGCAGGTTGCTAGCAGAGACACAGCAGATAAACCTCGCCTTCCAAAACCTCAGTTCCTCCTTTGTGAATGAAACACGTTTAATTGATTGGTTTTTAATCTGCACCAGATAGATAGGCTAGCTTGCAGAAAGAATTAATATTAGCACAGGTCATGGACATTCTCTGGAGGCCACATCTGGACATCTTTATAGCTAGATTTTAAAAAATCATTTCATTGTACCAAACCTCTGTGATTAAAACTTAGTATCACTAATTTGTCTATGAATAAAGTGTATGCACCTAAGCAACTTTGGAATTTGTTTCTTTTGCTGTTTTTTTCTTTTTTTTTTTTCCCCAGAAAAAACATCTGCAAGTTACAGATCTCTACAGATAACCTCTGACAGAATAAGCACTAAACAAGAATAACACAAAGAATCCTGCTGCTGCAGCATTATCACTTTTCATATAAAAAAAGCATTCTGCAATTTCTGTATTCACAGAATGAAGCAACATTGAGATAGTCTGAGCTAGAGGGATGAGGCTGAACGTACTGAGAATACTGTATCAGAGCATTGGATTTCAGTTTCTCAGTGCTTATATCATAATTTCCATAAGTAGTTTGCTACACAATCACATACACTGCCCTCCCCTCCATTTGGTTTATTTTTTCAGGGAGTCAGACCAGATTATGTACCATATATAATAAAATAAGTGTTCAAGAAATATTTGGACAATGTCCTCAAAATACGCTTTAACTTCTGGTTTGCTCTGCAGAGGTCAGGCACATGGAGACGATCACTGAATGTCCCTTTCAACCAAACTCCTCTATACACTATACTTCTATATTTTACCATGTTTCGTGAGCTCTCTCTGTGCAATACTGCTTACTTTCTGTCTGAAAGACAAACTGTTGATATGACTGTACTATTTTGCATGTCCCACAGTGTTTGAATTTACTGAGCCTGACAGATGGTTAGACTTCATTACTGGCATAATATTTCAATAGTATGATAGCCACAACTGATACAGTCTCCTTAGGCTGTTTGTTTTTGAACTTATCACAGAGATGCAGGAGCTCAAAGACTACACCCATCCAGATCAAGCTCAGTGTGTCCTGAGGAGGGCAGACTTAAGATTCATATTCTGCTTTTGGTTTAGGTGGTGTTTATTTTAAGAAGTCATGGCAATCAAAATACCTAGAATCTTCATCTAAGATTTACTTCCCAGGTGGCCCTGCCCTTAGCCACAGCAAACATCAGTACAACAATATACAACTGAACCTCTGCTCATACTGTTAAGTATGTTTATGTGCAGTAGTATGACATCTTGAGTCATCTTGTATGCTTTACTTTCAAACTTTGCTTTGCTGTTTCATATTAAAAATCAATATCAATCTATATACATTCCAGGATAAGTTTTCTTTCCCTGACTGTGGATAATTCTTATGCACTTCCTCTCTGCAGATTTTATATGAAGCACTGTCTCACTCTAAAAAACGTTCCTAATGGGTACCTTGGTGAGATTTGCTGCCAAATTATGTATTTATTTTTTCAGCAATGCTGAAATTTCTCATTTTTTCTTGCTGCCCTCAGGATGCTCAATAAGATAACAGGGTCAGGACGGAATCCATCACTTGTATGTACTGAGGTATTTGTAAGCATGGTTTCAACCAAGTAATGCAAGAAAGAAATGATTTGTGAATAAATCTATGTGAAATACAGATCCTCACTTTGCAAAGTTAGTGCACAAAGAATGGTAGTGTTTACCCAGTCCTTTTCCCAGTCTAAACAAAATATAGATAATTCCCTTTGGTACTCAGTAGACTACTTAAGAATTTTCACACATAACTGACTAAGACTGGGCCTTCAAGGCAGTACTGATTTTTATCATTTGAAACAACGGTGGAAACTACAGCACTGACAAAGGCTGGGTTTTTGCAGATCTTCCATATCAGCAAGTCAACTTCACCAGTGGTGAAGTACACACATCTTTCTTCTTTTTTTTTTTTCTAAAAAATTGTTATTTTTTAACCCGTGCAGACATGATTTTAAAACTTGTAGCAGAATAGAAAAGAAAGCACGGGTTTTCAAATCCTTGCATTCAATATTTTTTTTTCCTGAAAACACACGTTTAGTTATCTCTGATTTAGAACTCAGCTGAAATAAGTAATTTAGAACAGAGCTGAAAACAAATTAGTAATGCAATAGGCTGCACAAAGACAAAATGACATCATTATCCAAATACCATGGCATCTTACCTGCGGATTTTTAAACAAAGCATATTTTTCACTTTTTTCCAAAAATAGAATCTTATTCTCACTGTCTCGAGTCCAGTCTGACAACACTTCAACAACATTCTCATGGTCTTCAAAAAACCTTTCTGGAGAGACAAAAAAGATAATGTAAGTCATACACACTCTCCCTTCTGCTGAGGCTGTTGAAATTCCTATGTCAGAGTGGAGTCATTATCTGATGTTCATTCAGAATTGGCTCTTTTTTCCTCTGCACAGAAGTGAGCAAATCCATATGAAAATAGTGTCATGTGGAAGTGCAAATCAGCTACAGAAGAAGTCTAGCACGCTCAAGCATGACTTGGAGTCCTCCTGCATTCTGTGCTGTTGCCCAAAGACTGCAAAGGACGGAAAGAGTGATCCACTAGGAGTGGATGGTTACATTCATGTCTCTCGGTGCCCTTCATGTTTATTAGCCTTAATTTCTTATTGCTTTTTTTTCAGTATGACCAGAGATGTTTTGATGTTTTCTCACCAGAGTTTCTGACTTGGGGAAAAAACCCTAAAAATTTATTTTCATATTGTTTTACTAACTGAAATAAAAAAAAAAAAAAAAAAGAAATTAAAAAAAAAAAAAGGAAAGCTTTCTGTCACCAGAAAAAAATTTGATGTGCTAAAACTGAAATCTTTTGTTTCAGGCAACTGTGTTAAAAACAAGTGTCAAAACAAAGGAAATAGAAAGGCAGAGTACAAACTGATGTGAAGATCTTCTGTTTCACTCAGCATCTCAGCAGTAATCAATGGGAGATGTATGACATACCGTCAGATCTCTCCCTTCTTGAACTGATCTGAACTCAGGGCCTCCACCCATAAAAGCCACCTGCCAAGCTGAGGTTAGGTAGTATTTGATCTCTCCTTCCAGGGTTTCACATATAAAGCAACTGAACAGACACAGAAAGCCCTTCAGAAGGAAAAGGAATTCAGCATAATTTGACAGGTAATTTTGAAAGGACTCAAATTGCATTTTTCTATAAATTCAGTATTCGGGCAGTGAATTCAACCAGCTCTCATTTTTTAAGTTGGAGTTCCCTGAGAACAACTGTATCCCCACATCAGCAGTCTTTGATGATTACATATTTCAATGGCCTAGACTGGCTGGCACAGTGTAAGAGGAGATAGCATATATTTTATAGACTTTCAGTAGTATTTCCTTCTACTTTGGAAAAGAGGTCAGTATGCCCCAGCGTGACTAAATTTTGTGAATTAAAAAAAAATCACAAATTGGGATTGGTTTCAGGGCCAGTTCACAAGTACACAATTGTTAGCACAAAAGCAACCACAATACTTTAACAACTGATATTTCTGCAATATATAAAATGCTTGTATACTTAATAAATTTATTGAATATACAACATGTATGTACATTACATAATACAATACATTAAATATATATTAAAACAGATGCATTAGTTATTACAGATTTTAAACCCAAGTAACCTTTTGAAGGGTAGACATTGTCTTACAGGAAAACTGCAAAATGATTCTAAGTCATAACAGAGAACTTACCTGCTGTGATTGCACTGAGAGTACCAAAGAGAGGCAAATAGAAGGAGTAAGGTGGGGGGGATTTATACTTTTATCATTTTTTCCTTATTTAACACTAACTTTGTTATACAGTGGAAGCAGAAAAAAGAATGTGTACCATTGCACCCGTATGGAAATTCTCTAATTGCAAACAGAAAGGCTTCATTCCCAGTTCATTTGGACCTGGTGAGAGGCCGCTGCCTCAGCAGTTCACAGACTTTTTCCAAACTACCGATTTATTTGTTTTCCTACTCTTCTTCTGTCCTGGATTTTAGAATAGTTTTTACTCATTATGAGAACAACTCTTTATTGTATTAATAGAGCGCAAAGCACCAGATTTAGCAGGGATTAAAGCAATATCAATTTTTACTTTTAAAGAAAAGGTCTTTTCACTTCAATGTTTGTAACACTTGCTCTCCCTGGTATCTCTGGTTATAACTGTGTGATGAGGAATTTAAAAAAATGCCTATCAAGACCATGAATACACCCCTGTACATTCTCTGTAATATTCATAACATAAATACAATAATATATGTCGTCATCTTAACACTCAGACACATTTTTCCAAGTTACAAAATACCAGAGGAAGCAACTGTCTAAGATAAGAAAGCACTTTAAAACTATTCACAGTGACATTTGTGACACCTCTAGGGTCTAATGCCACCTCCAGTCTTTTCTTTATTAAGATAGGCTGGTACAAAAGAATGCAGCAATCTTCACGCATCATCTTAATGGAGTAGAAAGAACAGACAGGCAGTTACAGCCTCTTTTGTTCTTATAAGCAGAGGAGTACCTCCTTGCTCATGAGCAGTCAGGCTTTTTCCAGCTATTTTTATATTTCTTTGTTTAGTTCAGCAGGTTGATTTTTCCTGAGGTTCTGTTGAATTACAATATTGATATTCACCTTTCTTTGTGTATTTTTGTATACTTGCTGTGAGTCTGTAAACCAAGAATGCTAGAGCCTGTTTGACAATTTCCAGTTTCTCTATCGAATGCTACTCTTAAAGAAAGTTGTGGCAATTTTCTATTTTCTTTTCATGTAAATACCTTCACAGCCTAGACAATAAAAAATTCTGAATTAACTTACAGTAAGAGAATACTCCATTCATGATCAAACACTGAAGTCTTTTTGAAACAAAACTCCTGAAATAGCACCTGATAATGTACATGCTTTGCACAGCTGTCTGTTAGGAACCCAGAGGGCTGGGTAGTTACTCCCTAAATCATAAGGTATCATCAGCAGAGCAACACCCCCAAAGAAGAGCAATATTCTGTTCACAACAGTGCTTAAAAAAAGGACCATCAGAAGTGAAAAACACCAGAGATGACTGAAATGCTTCTGAGTTTTGTTTAATGACAGTGTTTGTTTGTTTGGTATGTAGCAGTCTGTTGACAGCACTTCAGCACTGCATTTTCTCTTCACAGAGTAGAATTGAGTGGTTGTGTGTTTGGGTCTGTCACTCCCTAACAAACACTGTAAAACTCAGGTGATCCTTTCAGATTGTGTAAAACTGAACAGTGGAAATAGTGCTGAGTGAGAAGCCTTCTGCAGCCTGCACCACTGACAAATGGAAGGCTTGATTTTAGAGTAAGAATGGCGTATTCCTGCATCCTCCTTCAGCTTCTAGATTAGGATTTTCCATACCAGCAGACACATAGGCAGAAGAAATGTTATTACATTTCAAAATTAGCATAAGATGCAATGTATCTACTTAATATATGCTCAAAAATAACCCTACTACTACACCACTTACCAATCTGCAGCTCTGGATAGACTTCATACAGACACCAGTCCACACTGCAGTCACAATGGGTTTTCTCAAAGAGATTGTCTAAAACATCCCGTGTCACCTGGCGTTCATCTACCATGAGTGACTTTGTGCTGTTATCATACATGTGCACCTTGACAACAAGCTGAGGACAGAGTCACAGAAGGCTCAGTTAATTTCAGAAGCAAATAACGGGCTAACTTGAATCTGCTAATGCAAATAAGAAAGATTAAGGCTGAAGGTTATTACTGGTTCAAAGGCATCCTGTGGCACAGTGAGACCGGAGAATAAAACAGATTGGAAGCTCTGACATTATATTGCCACCAAAATAAAGATCTTTTCTCAAAAAAAGGAAATTGAACTTTACCCTGTGCATTGCTACACGAAAGGTGAAATTGCTATGGAGAAAAAGCAGAAGTTAATCTCTCTAATTAAGGAAAATGCTTGATAGGAAACCCATATAGAAAAGGACACAGAGTCTTTAATGAAAGCTACTAGTATGGAAAGATATAATTCAGTTTTACATGAGAAGAACAAATTTTTCCAACTGCCAACTGACTAACCTGAAATCAATAATAAGCAAATAGATTAGTTTGTTACATTGGCTGAAAGACACTCATTGTCCCTTTATATTGTGAAGCAATTGTTAAACAAGAAACTGTGTGCATCTTTGCAGAGAGGAACAACACAAGAAAATGCTGAAGTATGTAAAACCTGATAAAGCACTGCAAATATATTACAAAGTACTTCAAATATTCCATTAGTACTGAAAGTAGAATAACAATTGTCTGCAGGATCTGTACAGAGAACCTGGAACTAAAGTGGTGAGTTGGGAGGACTTTTCCATAGCATCTTGCATAAATAGCTCCTTTTAAAAAGGGGGTATGAGAGGCTTTGGGGCCACAGAATCTCTTTTAAAGCTGACACAGAAGCAGAGAGGTAGGATTCTCAAGAAAAAAATCTACATTGTATCTGAAAAGTGAAAGCAAATATAACAAAAAAGTGAACTTGCTTTGATTCTAGCCCTTCTACGTATTTTCTCTAAACTAAGCAACTGAGCCACAGCTCAGATGATTCAGAAAAAGAAATGCTGTACATGCATGATCTAAAATGTCTCTGGGATTAAAAAAAAAGGGTATTTTATCTAGTTATAGTTGACTGCAGACAGAAATATGTAGGCAGCTTCCAATTTTTCGTAGAACAGAGAAGACTAGATTTCTTGGCAACTATTTAGGTAACTGAGAATTCAGAACTGACAGAAATTTCAGCTTAGCGAGGAAATGGCCACAAGAAGATTAGGTCTAAGTTCCACCCAACATTTCCAAATCCAGTCTGTGGGGAAAAAAAAAAAAGTAGAAAAAAAAAATGTTTCAAATGTTTCTTGCCAAGGAAAATTGCAAGTACTGCGAGGAAAAGGTGACCAGCATTTGTTACAGATCTAAGAGACAACCCTGATTAAATTCCCCCAGTACGCTGCTTCAGAAGTAGCACAATGTGCACAGGTGTATGGCGTTCTGTGGAAATCATCTTAAACATGGACACCCTCAAATTTACTGGAAGCTTCAATTCTTCTTCAAAAGCCTTCTGGCTCTGATCTATGATTCACACCTCCTACTTGAGCAAGACTGAAAGGTCATGCCTGTTTTTCCTTTACATCCATTTTTCAAAGCCACTGAACACCTGCAGCTTCTGTTGAGTTCACCTGTAACAATAGCTTAGGACGAGTAGGTACATTTACATGATACTCGGTGCTGCAAAGACATAGGCTGAATGCTTTTAACTAATTAGTCTGGAGCAAATTTTTGTACATTACTGCACTGCCATGAAATGATTTAGCAAGAAGATCCTCACTAATTTAACTGAGATTAGCTAAAGCCATATCCAGTCTAGAAGAGAAGCTTAATACTTTTGGAATCAGCACAGCCTGAGTAAGCAATGCTTTTATATACCTTCCACTTTCTCTAAAGCAATCTTTCAGGACTGTGGGCTTTGCCTCGACACTGGGGGATGAGGAGGGGAAGGTTGGTCCTCTTAGAAATAAGTCCCCCAGAGGTAGTATTCTCACAGACCTCTGTACAGGAAAGAGTTCCACAGAATATTTGTTGATGTCTCAAGTTCAAGACAAAATATAAAAAAGCCTAATGGCTTTTACTAAGATCTTCATTATTGAGAACAATGATAACAGATAATTGGTAGCTCTTATTTCACTATTTTAAGGCTCACCTTTTTAATTTTAGCTTCCTTCAGCTTCTCCAATGCAAGTTTAATTTTGTCAGCTTTAGCTCGCGCCTCTTGTTCTTCCTGAAAAGACACAAAATAATTCCTATACTTGTTAAGTAAGGCCAGCAATTTACATACACCTGAAAAGAGTTGTTTCCTGTTATTTGTATCCAGAACATAAGGAAAACCGTGAGAAATTGCATAGTTATGGGGAATTCCCAATTTTCTTGAATTAAAATCCTCCCACCAAAGCTGTGAATTACAAGTGCAGTTCTCTGTTTAGTTTTCTAGTCATAGCACCCTTAAATGAGCTGCTCCTCAAATGATACAGGAATGCTTGAAAATGGGGCTGTTCTATGTGTCCTGACTGACACCCCTCTTGATGCATTAAAGATTCTTTATTTTATCACCGATTCCCCTAATATTCCATAAGAGATCAGAAACATAAGATAAGATGTGCAACCTGAAAGAGAGCTTCAGGACTCTTTACTGTTGCCAAATCCTCCACTATGAATGCCAGGCAAAGAATTCACATATGTCTTTTCCTCTCCAAGGGCATGAAAATCTGCACTCCTACTGTTCAGAGATGCTGAAATTTCAAGAATCCCAAACTAGCTTCTGTGGTTGAACTGAAACCGTTGGATAGAAATGGCTTCCACAGTTCTTCCACTGTTCAGAAGGGGTAAGTGTAAACAGCCTTTTGCACTGTGGTCTTCCTCTTACCATCTCAGAAACACTACCCTGCAAGAAGCAGGAAAAGCATCTTAACTAAAGTAGTCCAAGCACCATGCAGGTAGACTTTCTGCTGATAAATTTAGGCAGGTATAATTCAGGTTTCTCTTGCATGTGACCTGTACAGAACTGAATTCACACATTGTACAAATCTGTGCAACAAACAGACTTCTCATCTGAGGTGAGGAAGTTTCACAACCTTCATCTTTTTCAATATAAAGAAAGTTATATACAGTAAATAAGCTACCAGATAAAAATTGTAGCACTTTTAAAGAAACGCTTCGACAGGTTAGAAGTTTTATTCTCCCTCTACGATGTTGTCACAGTGTTTTCTGGATCTTCAAATAGAAACACATAAAAGTTATCCAGATAATATCACGTTCTACATACAAATGTAGAAGCTTTATTTAGCTTACAGACAGTTCTAAAAATAAACGTCAGAGTTGATGGAAACTCATGAGACAGCTCTCCATTTCTTTGAAAGAAATGGTATACTTTTAATTGTGTCACAGTAAAAGGTTATAGAATAGAGCCTTAGTATCACAGACATAATGGGAATAATTAACACTGCTCATTTGACTACACAAAACCATAACAAAATGTCAGTCTTGATTTGTTCAGGAATCACCTATCAAGAATCCTGGCTAGATGTGGATTTTGATGAAACAAAATTTTCCATTTACAGTGGCATATCATTCTGTGGAGCAGAAATATAATGTCAAAACAAATACTCATTAACAAAGACAGTAAATACTGATTTGAAATCAGGTCTTTTCACACTTATTTTAAATGGTTATAACCTCCATCATTCAGGTTATAGCTTGTGTAATAGCCCTATAGGTAATTTTCTGCATGGACAGCAAGCCATACAGCAGGAACAACATCAGTATTTCAACACAATCTGTACCAGAAAATGAGGCAAGAACTGCAACAGAAAGCAGATTCAGTGCCTTAATGAGGAAAACCAATATTGCAGAGAGATTCCTTAGAAATGCCTCTGTTTCCTGTTCTCATCCTTCTCTGCCCTCCTCCTGTACCTGAAAAGAGACCAGGAGATGCTACTAGAGATTCAACTCAGTACACAGTCCCAGAGTAACATTTTAACTGAGAAAGAGAGGTGAGTTTCAGCTGCACTTGTGCACTTAAAACTCCAGTTGTGTTCAGCAAGTGTAACCTCTTTTCAGTCAAGAAATCTTGTTTGACCCTCAGGTTACACAGGATAACAGCTATGAAAACAAGCTTCAGCAGAGCAACCTGGGACCTGACTCTGTAAAAGCTGAGCTCAATACAACACAGAAGGAATGGAACAGCACAGCACAGTTGATTTCAGTGACCTCTAAAACACATCATGCAAGTGTCAGTGGAAGAGAGCACTGGAGGTCTGTAGTTCGACTCCCAGATCAAAGCATGAGTGTTACCAACATTATATCAGGTCAGCTATGGCTTTGCTCAGCAAAAAAATCCAAAGATGGAGAGCCAATAAACTCTTTGGGTAACCTGTTTCAGTCCTACACCAGCACTTAGAATGAAAAAAGTTCTAATGCCCTGTCTGAAGCTACAAAGCAACAAAACATAGCTTTTACCCCTTGTTATACAGTCTCCCATTGCTGTGAAGGAATTTGGCTCCACTAGCTTTGTAGCTCTCTTCAGGTATTTCAGGTTGTCACTACACCACTCCCTATCCCCCCTCTGCCAGACTCAACAAGCACAGCTCTATCAGTATGACCTCATCACTTCACATCCTCATTAAAGTTCCAGGAGCATCTCTGCTGGAGATGCTCACAATCACAATGGGCTACAGTATTCCAGGTGTGGCTTCACTCTAGTGCCAAAAGAAACAAATCATGACTCCCTCAGTCTGCTGGCCACACTCCTTCTACCTCAGCTCACTTTCCATTTCCAATCTGGCAGCTGAAGGGCATCAACTCCTTTCCAGTGGGAGCACCTGCAGATGATTCTTGATGGTGTCAAGCAGCTCACAGACAAAAATGTTAAACAGGACAAGCTCCACAGTTGATCCTACTTGTCACCAGCCATTTATTACCCCTTGAGCCTGTCAGTTTGGCCAGTCTTTAGCTCTCCTAACCAAGCACCCTTTCAGATCATACTTGCTCAGCTCCCAAATCAGACTATTCAGAAATTTGGTACTTCCCTAAAGGTCACCAGTCTAAACCAAGATGGGGATATATTTGTAATACAATGGACAGAGCTTGTCTTGACAGAATCTCTTCTGTATCAATAATAGTTAAATAAATATAAAATAATAATAATAAGAAGAAGAATAAGAATAAGAATAGCTAAATAAAAGATCTCAGCCTCTGAATTAAGTCTAGTTGTTGTTCTTATAAATGTTGATTCTCCTTTAAGATCAGAAGTTAACTATTATCTTTGAGACAGAGAAATGGTGAAGATCCTCCCATGTTTACAATTTTCATTCTTCTCACCAAGCACTAAAAAGTCCTGTACATAAGATGAAACTTTATCCAGTATAATCAACAAGGTCCTCTTCCTAAAAAATTTTCTGCTTCTTTTGCTTTTTTTTTTTTTCCTGTATTGTGCTAAAAGCAGAGGCAGCAGTGATAATGAGGTAATTCATACTCAGTTTGTGTAGGCTTTTAAGCTGCAATGAATTGCCCACGGTTTTAGGTAAAACTGACTGGTACAGTTCTGCGCCAGCTGACAGAGTACCTTTCACTCTCCCTAAAACCTTTCCATTCCCTAAGTGTAAACAACTCCTCTCCACCTTATTTTATGTGCTCACGAGTACTCAAAGAGACACTTCAAGACTTTTCAGGATTTCAGACTCATATTTTTTGGACTGCATCACTCTTCTAACACACACAGTCTCCCTGCAGGACTGAAAGGGTAAATTCTTATCTCCCTATCCACAATCTCATGTCAAAGAACTGAACTTTAAATACTTGTACTAGATATGCCATGTGTGACTTCAGTTATTAAAACAGGTTTGCAAGAAAAACAAACATGGAGGAAGTTGTGATAACTGAAATTTTAGCATATCACTAAGTCAAATGTCTATAAGTAACACTCACTGATAATTTCAGCAACTGCTAAGGGAAACATCCACAGAACCTTCTCATCAGTAGCAGTAGCATTTACTGCAGTAAACAAAGTGATAGTGTCACAAAATGATGGGATATTTGGCCATCCTTTGCACTGATGTCAAAGTGAAACACTCCATTACTAACTGATCATCACATTACAACTGATCATCACTAACTGATAAAACTGATTTTTTTAATACTTATTAAAAAAAAAAATAAATCAGTAAAAATCTTTCACTATAGTAAACCATTTCCAATGATTAAGGTCTGTCTTGGGCTATTAGAATGGCTATTAGAAATGCAAAAGGAATGGGCAGTATGTCCAGGAACTGGCAGAAAGTGCCACACTCACAGTAAAAGAATTTATAGCTGTTTTGTTAGTGTAGACTCTAGTTAAGATACTTATACATGGATTTTACTGGATACCCACAGTTGTTCCAATGCAAATCCAATTCTAAAATTACAAGTTACTGAGCTCTTGCAACAAGATTCCTCTCAGACTTACCTGGCTGAGTGGCTCGGGAGGAGGTGGTGGTGGTGGTGGTGGAAGGTCTAAATTGGGGGCTGGAGGTGGAGGGGGCAAGTCATCCTTAAACTGTCTCGTAATGGTAGCACAGGGACTTAATTTACTATAAAAGTCATTATCCATGCCTGTTGGAGGCTGAGTGGCCACACTTTGCTGGTTGCCAGAAGAAGTTTTCTGGGCTTGTAAAGTTCTCTGTTCAACTTCATTTATGTCTGCTACAAGGTCAGCCATTAAAGCATCAAGGTCTTTGTCCTCTAGGGCATTTAGAGATTCTGTATAGAAAACAAAAAAATACATCAAGAGTGAAGGCAATGAAAAAATCTGTTACCAGTTCAGCGAAGATTAAATTACAGGAGACATAGTTACTGTAAGATATAAGGGTTATGGGAAAGGATTTTAAACAGGTTCAAGAAAACAAACATGCTTTAGGAATGGATATTATTCTGGTTGTACTGAAGTTCTGAGTACAAGGAACTCTAGGAATACAAATTAAACAGGACAGGAAGTCTCATTTTCATTGATATTGTCTCAGACCTGTGTTTTATGAAATCTGACCCTGTTTCAACAAAGTTTATGGGCACATGCTCAGTGATACGGATGCAAGAAATCCAATTCACTCCCATTACGCTATTTACTTATCCAGTGTTTAGTACACACAAGAATACTCAGCAAGTTTTGCTATAACATACAGCAAACATTTTAACTGATACTTGGATAAAGAACATTTTCATATATTAGAACTATTCTATAGATTTAAAATTATTATGAACCAAAACCACCAGATGTGTTTGCAGCACATCTGTAGTTGTGTGATCAACCTCTGTGTCACACCTCATGTAATATGCAGGATTTTGAGGATCCTTTCTTTGAGGAAAAGAACAAACAAAACGGTTTCTTTTTTGAAATCATCTTATCAAACGGATATAAATATTGTAACTTTTGTTACAGTATTTCTGCTATTCTGTCAGAGTGTAAGACAAAGTCTTACACTGCGTTTTGGAACTTCATATGCAGTTTGTTCTTAGATTGTTTGAACTAGAAATGTTGTAAGAGATACTTTGGAATAACATCCTGTAGGATAATTTAGTTTTCTAGAAGAGAAGGGTTCTATAAGAATCACTGCATTCAGTGATCTAAATCACTTTGAAGAAGCTAGTTCAAAAAAAGAATCACAAATTGTAGCATTTTAAGTGGAATTTTGGAAAGAGATGGAAAGCTCTGAACTACACATTAAAAATGACAATATTTCAACAAAGAATAGATCATTCATCAAACAAAGTGAATGTGTCATTGGACCATCTCAGTTTCCTCTGCTTTACCTGCTGTGCTGACAGTGTATTTTCATAAGCTTTTTTTTACAGTGGAAAAGCTGCCTTACAATCCTCTATTTATATTTCTAACCACTTTTCTGGTAGAGACATTATGGCATAATGTAGCTTAATGGCAAATTCATTCTACAAAATAACACTAGTTGAAATCAGCTGAAATAAATAGAAACATGCAAACAAGCAGCCCCCCAGCAAAAAGAAAAAAAGGAAAAAAAAGCACAAGAGCACATTTTTAAGCTCAGATCAATTCCTTGACTCAGTTTGTCAGAGGAGCAAGCAGCAGAAGTGACAGTCCAAGCCAAAATGAGAATAAGTAATGTAAACTGGAAGAAACTGAAGCCAGTACTTCCACTAGAAATAAATGCTTCCGCAGCTCTGACTTCACACTGAGATAGCACAGTTTTCTATTAAGTTTAATCTTTACACAAAAGGTTGCCTTTTTGAAAATACTTCAGACGACTTCTATTTTTTTGCTTTCTCTCTACACTCAGACATAGTAAAAAGTCTGATTCTTCTGTAAGACCAAGCAACGTCCCTTTAAAAACACTTGGTCCCTTTGAAGTTTCCTAAACTGAGACACACAAACATACCACTGCTCCAGCAAAGTTCTTTTTTCTATACTATATTTTAGATCAGAGGTGTTTGAAGCTTTTCGTCACATTTGTTGCTGTGAGGTATTTAAAATAAGTATAAAAATGAATGAGTCCATTCAACTCCTTACCATTTAAATCCTTAAAACCTACAGTAAAGCTGAATTCCTTGTTGGTCACTTGGGGGGATGGAGTTTGTACATTTTCCACTCCTAAACTCTGTTAAGGTAAAAGAAAAAGGAAAGTGTTTTAATGATATAACTACTATTACAGACATTAACATCTGTCAATTAGTTACCAAGATGTGTTTAACTCAATTCTTTTTCAAGAAACAGAATGGAACACACTAGTTTCTGAGATTATTTCTAGACTGATAAACTGAAGACAGACAAGACCAAAGCACCGTCTCATACCAGGTGTTCAATGGTTTGCATACTTCCCAGTACAATGTCGAACCATGCAAACGCCACTCTTGTCAGGAACAGCTGGGCATGGTTTGGGAAAAAGCACAGGCTGGGGCTGTTGCATGGAACTGTTTGGGTTGAAAAGAACCTTAAAGATCACCGAGTTCTGGTCCCCTGCCACAGGCAGGGACACCTCCCTCTAGACCTGATTTCCCAGGACTCCATGCAACCTGGCCTCAACCACCTCCAGGAATAGGGGCATCCACAGCTCCTCTGGGTTGCCTGTTGCAGCGTCTCAGTAACTTCACAGTAAACAACGTCTTCTGTAGTGTCTACCCTACATCTACTCTCTTCCATTTTAAAGCCATCACCCCTTGTCCGATCACTACATTCTCTGATAAAAAGTACCTCTACAGCTTTTTATAGATCAATTTAGGTATTGGAAGGCCACTGTAAGGTCTCCCTAGAGCCTTCTCTAAACCAAACAACCCCAACTCTCTCGGCCTCCAACAGAGACACTGAAAAGCCAGACTCATTTTGAAAGGCTTTTTGAGTTTTTTGGGAAGAGAGGTGGAGGTGTGTGAAATTTAGCTGCGTACGCGCACAGATTTGAGCTGTGCAGTGCCACTTGCTCCAGCATTATATTTACTAATATAAATCATCGTTTTGTCTTCTCCTGATGTTTGAAAACAAATAACACCAGCTAACCAACAGCAAAACATGCTGCTGTTTGCAATGGAAACTGGGTACTGGGGCATTTACATTTTTGAGTTGCCTGAAACTGAGAGCTATTTTTCAGGAAAATTAATATAAATGTTTTTCCTGGAACTCTTTTCACTTATTACCCACTCAAGACATGTTGGTTTCTTCTCAAGCTGTACAAAGCTGGAAACCACAGATTACTTTAAACACTGCTATTGTGTTAATACTTACTCTCATAAAAATCAACTTGGTGTAAGTAGGGGGAGAGGGAGGAATGAAGGACATGTGAGTTTAGGGAAGGGGTGATGTCAGCACATTAGGGAGGAGGAGAGTCAGTCTTGGTTTTAGAAATACATCCTGTCCCATCTGCACCACTGAGTGGAGAAGCTCACACTCTTACTCTCCCCCCTGCACACATGATGTCATGCCTTGTCTGAGGAAGTAAAATTTATCACAAGCAGCCTTTTGTCAGTTTTCAAAACACAATAATGAAATGAAATTACCCTAAAAGAAATTCTCTTTATATACACACACAAATATTGAGTTTACATGACCACAAAAAGCTCTTAAGAAGGTGAAAAGCTATCAAGGAGCAAAATATTGGGATCTGACAGCTAAGAAAGTAATACAGAATCCTGGCTTTCATACAAAGCCACTTATTTAAGCATAATCCCCATGATGTGACTCACGATTATTGGTATTTAATTTGGCAAGATTGGGAATTATCAGTAGAAAAGATATCTCAAAACAGGGGCTGTAAGCAATCAAATTCACACATCACATCTAAGACAACAGCTTAAGTGTTTTCAAACAAGCATATATTAAAGTACAACAAATTTACAGAGCTTGTGTCTTTTAGAAATAAAAATTCTCTTTCATCAGGCTTTGCAGGAAGTATTTAGGTTTAGAAATAGGCTCCTGCTGTTTTATAGTTTCCTCTCAAGACTGTATTCTGCACTGGAAATAATGTCTCCATAAATCCTTGAACTGCTTGTTACTAGCTGTAACTTAATATTTTGGCATATCTAAAGATGACTTGTATTGCTACATGAATACACTCAAGATAATATTAAATGTTGTTTTTATTTCCAAAGTGTACAATGATATGCAGGCTGTATGTCATTTACCCATGTATGCAAAGCATTCATAACTGAAAATTCTGACTCAAACTCCGAATCTTTCACCTTCTTGGGACTGAGTCCAAGAAGGATTTAAATTGCTTATTTATTTGTTTGCTTGTTTTTGAGAAAGAATCTTTCATAAGCAGTTATATGTCAATAACTATCTAGCCTGCACTGATATTCCCTTCTTCTACAGGCCATGTGATTTAAATGTCAGGCAGAGAAATTCAGTTGAAGGTTTCTCAGAAGAATTTTTATTGGGGAAAAAATGATTTACCTGGGTCAGCATGTCCATCTCCCCAAGTAAATTGCTGAACATTTCATCTATATCATCACATGTTTGCTCCATCTGAAAGAAAAAAATCCACAGGCAATGAATCATCACAAATTCATTCCAAAGCTAGCAATGGTCAAAACCAGAGGATATGCAGAATTCCACTGGAGATGCCAAGTACCCCTGGAGTTTACTGGGTGTAATCCTGTTCAGGACCTGGTTACGACTAAGTACATAACCAACTTTTTGTCTCAATATTTTTCACTATTTTTTTTCAAATACTAGTAGACTCAGAGAACTTCCATCTTATCCAACCTCAAAGCAACTGAGGGAGAGCAGTGAGACAAGGAAAGCATGTACAGGGCTGCATGATAATGGTGACTTCTGCCGCATGAGTCAGGATTTGAGGACAGTGCCAAATGACATTCATAGGGAGATAATGTTTCTGCTATAATCCCCTTCTTCTTTCTTCTATAGAAGTTCCTTTGGAAGAAGTGAAGTAGTGTAAAAGAGTGTCACTTGAACAAGGTGCAGGCAACTGCAAGCAAGGCAACTGCAAGCAAGGCTTTGAATTTGCACAGTTCTCTTAGGTCCTGCAAATCCAAGACTTACAGATTTTGGAACTGAATGCTGTTAACAGCATGTCACACATGAGTGAGCAAATGGAAAGCTGAAGTCATCTCATCTGCTTCGTTTCCAGCTGACCAACCCACACTGAATGGCTCACTGTATGAATCCTACAGAGCTTTCTCTATAAAAGTCAGTTTTTGTAGATCCAGCAGTATTCTGGTTGCGTGCATAATTACTAAATCTTAATTCATATATTCAAATCAATAACCGTGTAGCAGCTTATCTGGTACATGGAGAATCAATTTTCATAAAAGAGATAGGCAAATGGCAATTATTTGATCAGATAGATTAAAGTTGGATCTGTTTAAGACAAGAACTGGAGCTGCAGCTCATACTGGTATTGTACTGATAGTGTCTCATCAGTAGTTAAGTAACAAATATTTTACACCTTTCTGTTTTCTCTGACTTTTGAGGACCTTATCAGCTGTAGCTGTTTGTATGTTGTTGTGTGTTTAGCTGTTTCAGTTTTACTTTCAGGAACAAGACATCAGACTAGTTCCATGAACCAACTGAAATTGTTTTCCTGAAAAAAAACAACCAACAAAGAGCACTGAACACTGTATTACAGAACAGTTTAACCAGATTATATTGGTTTCTTTTTTAAAGGTACTAATAAATTCATATCTTCTTTGCAAGCATATGATTTTCTGAATATTCAGACTCATTTGATTCATGGGGAAATAAAATGATTGTATGGAAAAGCTAAGTGCAAATAATTCACTATGAATTTTACATTTCCACATCAGAGTTAGTCACTAATGATTTTTTCTCATCCAATCATATAGACTTTAACATTAGGGCTTTTTACACCTCAGGCACATGGGCCAGAACACTTGCATTAAGAAGGAAGTGTGTCAGTGTCCGTCCCTTTCAAGTGTCACCTTCCATGAGCTGACATCTATCATGACAACCCATCACCAAGCCACTCCTCCTACTTGTTTCTGTCTTTTTCTCTTAAATTCTTTTAGGAAGAAAAGTTAAACATCCCCATCACCACACTGTGAAGAAAATATTTTTATGTGAAAACACATTGGATGATCTCTTAGACTAATATAAGAACTTTCAAAATTCATTGCAGATTTTGTCATGAGCTAGAAAAACAAAAGACAGTAAAATGAATGCCCAGAATGGGGAACTCAAGTGTGTCTGTCTGCTCTTCTCTTCTTTGCTCCGTCATATTCAGGACTCCTCTCCATTCTCATTTCTTTTCTCTCCGTGCTTCAGAAGGAACAAATAGACAAAACAACAACCAGACATGGGAACTAGCCCATTCAAGGCAGATGTTACTGCATATAGGACCAGAAGAATCTTTTTTTTTTTCTTTCTTAACTTACTTATAAATAGCCTTGAAGTTATTCAAACCAAAAACTCAAAGTGAAACCTGCAGCTGTATTAAGCTATTATTAACAAAAAAGGGGAAAAAAATTACCGAAGCTCCCAGAAGAATACTGAGTTACAGACTCAGTCCTCCTTTGTATCTTCTAAAATATCTGCAGCTATCCTGTATATAGCACTACTAATAACAACTCTTAAAATCACTATGAACTAAACTGAAAAGTCAGTACTTTCACCATGTTTCCCATGTCATGCAAAAGACTTCAAGCAGAGAAAAGAGAATTAAAATAAAAAGAGGAAATAGTGGTTGTAAAGAATAAGAAGATTTAGGAGGGGCATTTGGAAAGGCAAACATCTGAATCAAACGTATTTTTAATGTGACTGACATTTAAGCTGAGCCTTCTATCCCCCCTTTTGAATTGACACCAATAACAGGAAAAGGTATTCCCTTAGTTTATTCCCCCCAAATTTCACATCCTCAGATCTGCACTGAGCTCTCATTTCCTGATGAAAGCTGCCTTTTTTTTTTTTTAATACTCCCACATTTCTCACACTGTTTACCTACTGTGCATATTCTCTTCAGCTTTCTATTTTAACCACCAAGTCTCACTGTGTGTTCCACGCATATTAAACTCTCACAAAGTTGATATAAAACAGAAATATCAACTAATTGCATTTTGACTCACCAGTACATTTATTCATATTGCCACTTACTACAAGCCCCTCAGACCTTCTTGTCCTATTTTTTTTTTTTTTTACCTTCTCAATGTGAGATTTAGCAGCCACTTGGCTCTTAAAAGTCATTTAAATCTAAAGTAAGAGACTGGTGCATAAAGAGCTCTTTGCACTACTAACATCTTTATGTTTCAGTTTACCCCAAAAAAAGTCTGATTTCAGCATATTTGCTCTGCCTTCTCCTTCAACATTTGAGTCTGAGGGACACTTCTTCTGTCATAGGCTTTGCTGGCATTTCCAACGACACACATCCATTCGGGTGACCCTCTGATGGGACCTCCAACTCTTCCACAAGAAGCAGCCTGAAGCCCTGTCCAACAACACAGAACTCCAGTGTGCTGCATTTCTAAACCTGGCAACAGAGCCACACAAAGCTTTCAGCTTCTGCATGTCTACTCCCTATATACTTTTATTTTAAAAGGAAAAGAAAATTTCTGGATGTCTTGAGCTATAGAGTGGGAAGTTGGAATTTAATTATCTAACCTCCAACCACAGAGAAATTCAGCAGATGCAGGGAAAGCTACCCAACTTGCTGTATTTGCATGAGAAACAGACTTTGTGGGCAGTGCATTATCCTGTTCTCACAAGGCTGATCTGGGACTCCAGGACACGAAAAAGAAATTCCTTGCTCAGATACAAGAACGAAGAAACAGTCCTTGTACTCAGTCTCCCAGTGCACAATCCTACACAGGCTAAGTAGAATCTCATTAATATAATTCAGTGTCATGCACTGACATGCAGAACAGGAACTACCTTTGATGGTCTGTAATACAAACTCTGTCACTAACCAGTGTGATTTCTGTATGGTTGTAAACACCTTGATTTGTTAAGATGCTTGCAGTGGATTTGTGAGGTCACGGCCGGAACCAATGGTTGAGCACCAGGTAAGAAGGCATGGCTAAGCCAGGGAGCTCAGGTGCAACCAATGCACCTGAGTGACTGGAAGGGGTGGAGCCTGGATCCGACCCTCCTCACCCTCATTTAAAGTTAGCAGCCAAAGGAGCAGCACCTTTCTGGACAGATTGCACTTGTGCTGTTGCTGGTAACGGAGGGTGTGAGCCATGTTTTCTTCTTTGTTACTTGCTATTGGTCTTTAGTGCTTGTATCCCATTAGAAGGCACTGTGGTCACCTTTTTTTACCACACAGATTCTATAGAAAATAAAATCACCCACCGCTTTATTTATTTTAAGAATGAAGAAAGTTTTGCAATTCTATAGAATGGCTTGGGTTGAAAGGGAAGGGCAGTCACCGTCAAGATCAGACCGCCCAAGGCCCCACCCAACCTGGCCTTGAATGACTCCAGCAATGGGCATCCACAGCTTATCTGGGCAGCGGTGCCATGCCTCACTGCCCTCTGAATAAAGAATTTCCTTCATCTATCTTATCCTAATCTCTCTTTCAGTTTAAAACAGTTACCCTTACTCTCTCTCTCTACTCCCTGATAAAGAGTCACTCTCCAGCATTCTTGTAGTCCTTTCAAGTCTTGGAAAGCCACAATGAGTTCTTTCCAAAGCCTTTTCTTCTCCAGGCTGAACCACCCTAATTCTCCCAGCCCCTCTTCATAGGAGAGGTGCTCCAGCCTCTGGAGCATACCCATGGCCTCCTCTAATAGGACCCGCTCTAATAGGTCCACCTTCTTTCTTGAGCTGGGGGCCCCAGAGCTGAACACAGTATTGAGGTGGGGTTTCACAACAGAACAGAAGGTGGGGAAATCACTTCTCTTAACCTGTTGGCCACCCTTTTTTGATGCAGCTTAGGATTGGCTTTCTGGGCTGACAACACACATCCCATATCCAGTTTTTCATCCAACACTCCATTATTGCAGGGCTGCTCTCTATCCACTCATCCTTGAGTCTGCACTGATGCTTGGGATTGCTCCAGCCCACATTCAGGACCTTGCACCAGGCCTTGCTGAACTGTATAAAGTTCACACAGGTCCACTTCTCAAGCCTGTCCAGGGTCCCTGTGGATGACATCCTTCCTTCTGTGTACCAACTTCATTGCTCACCTTGGTGTCATCCAGACACCACTGTACTGTGCTTGACGCCACTGCCCACATTATTAATCAAGATATTAAACAGTACCAGTCTCAATACACCACTCATCACTGATCCCCACTCTGACACCGCGCCATTGTCTGCAACTCTTTGGATGTGGCCATCTGGCCAATTCCTTATCCACCAAACAGTCCATCCATCAGATCCATGTGTCTCTGATTCAGAGAGAAGGATTTTGGGTGGGACTGTGTCAAAAGTCTATGAGATCTGTCTCATATGAGATCTGTTTCTCTTCCCTCATCCACCAACACTGTCACTGGAGTTTACAACCAATGCGTACATTTACATAAGACAACTGCACAATGCCCATGAACAAT